GCAGTGATTTCGTAAAAGGAAATGAAAATAACGATGAAAAGGAATGACAGTAATCTCCTTTAACTGCAACGCGAGCAGGAAGCGGAGGCAAGGAAAAGGAAAATGAACTATCCTGTTTGTGACTGTAGTTTATATGTGCGTGTGTTTATGAATATAAATGTTTATAGATAGATAGATAGATAGATAGATAGATAAACAGATAGATGTATATATATTTATAGTATATATATATATATATATATATATATATATATATATATATATATNCTATCACCATTATCTCTATCCTATCTAGCCATCTATCTGTATCTATCAACAATCTATCCATCTTCTATATCTATTTATAAATATCATCTATCTAATCTATTATTATCTCCATTATCTGTATCTTTATAAATCTATCCATTTATCTGTATCTATCTTATAATATATCCATATATCTGTATCTATTTATAAATTATCATCTATCTGTATCTACCTATAAATCTATCTATAACCATAAAATAACATATCTCATCCTATCACTATCTACCTATTTTATCATAAACTACAATATCTGTGTTCTGCCTCATATATCGCGTTCTGTCCCTTAATCTGTATGTCTATCTACCTTTTTCCTCTCCCCACTGATCCCCGTTGTTTAGATTTCCTTATAGACAAAAAAAAATAATAAATAAACAAATAAATAAATGAAAATAAAAAGACAAAAATTAATAATGATAAATAAATAGATAGATAAGAAATAAAAAGACCATCGTCATCGTCACGAATGGATACGAATGCATAAAAGAAAGAAAGAAAGAAAAAATCAGGAATGAAATGGAAAATAGCAAGAACGAAAGAGACACGATAAGAATCTAAAGAAATAATCCTAAAAGGAGGGAGGGAATATTTACGGTGAAGTTGAAAATACACATTGGTAAAGGAGGAAAGAGAAATCGAAAATAACCGTCAGCTAAAACGTCGGAAAATGGGAAATACCAAAAACAAATAAAAAATGAAAATTCAAAGGAGAGAGAGGGAGAGACAGGGGGGGGGTAGCAAACAGAAAGAATAAGAGAGAGAGAGAGAGAGAGAGAGAGAGAGAGAGAGGAGAGAGAGAGAGAGAGAAGAGAGAGAGAGAGAGAGAGAGAGAGAGAGAGAGAGAGGAGGGGAGAGAGAGAAATAAATAAATAGAGAAAGGGAGGGGGTAGCAACAGATAGAATGCGTGAGAGAGAAGAAGAGAGACATGGGAAGGGGGTAGCAAACAGACAGAAAGAAGAGAGAGAGAGAGAGGTAACAAACAGACTGGCAGACAGACAGACAAGTTGACAGACAGATAAGGAGGCAGGCAGGCATGCACAGAGAGAGTGAGAAGCAGAATGAATAAGTTAAAAACAGATAAAAGCAAAGAGCAAGAGATAACGAAAAAATATAAATAAAAATACACCGGAAGGATATAAATAAAAACATACATTAGATCAAACAGAGGTGTAAAACAAAATATACTAAAGATATGAAGAGAGGGAGAGAGAAGAGAGAGAGAGAGAGAGAGAGAGAGAGAGAGAGAGAGAGAGAGAGAGAGAGAGAGAGAGAGAGAGAGAGAGAGAGAGAGAAGAGAGAGAGAGAGAGAGAGAGAGAGAGCAGAGAGTGACAGTGACAGAGGCAGACAGACAGGAGTTAGAAGAAAGAGAGAGAGAGAGAGAGAGAGAGAAGAGAAAGACGCGAGAGAGAAGAGAGAGAGAGAGAGAGAGAGATGAGAGAGAGAGAGAAGAGAGAGAGAGAAAATAATAGACATAAGGATAAAGAAAGAGAGAGAGATAGAGAGACTTCGGTACATACACGAAACGGAGTTGGTAAGACATATAAATATAAACTTATAAACTTCACCAAGATGGTCAGCTAAGCAATTAAACTCTTACTTGAAAGAGGATATTGGCTGAGCATGTAAGCGCTATCGTAAAAAAAAGTTACTAGCTAATTAAAGCACATAGTTAGCGGAGAGAGAGAGAGAGAGGCGAGGAATATGTGGTGGAAGGAAGGAGAGGGAGGAAGGAGGGAGAGGCAGAGGGGAAGGGGAAGGGAGGGAGAGGAGGGTGAGAAAGGAGAGGAAGGAAGGAGGAGAGAGGAGGAGGGAGAGGCAGAGAGAGAAGGGAGAGGAAAGAGGAAGGAGGAAGGAGAGGCAGAGGGAAGGGGAGAGGGTGAAAAAGAAGGAGGGAGAGACAGAGGGAAGGAGAGAGTGAGGGGAGGGGAGGGTGATAAAGGCAGAAAGGCAGAAGGGAAGGGAGAGGGAGGAGAAGAGGAGGATGATAAAGGAGGATGGAGAGGTAGAGTAGGGTGAGGGAAGGGGGGAGGGATAGGGAGGGAAGGGAGGGATAGGGAGGTAAGGTGGGTGAGGGAAGGGGAGGGGAGAAAGGAGGAGGGGAAGGCAGAGAGGGATGAGGGAAGAAGGAGAGGGAGGCAGGCGATGAAGAAAGGGAGGAAGAACTAGAGGAAGGGAGGGAAAGGTGGAATAGGAGA